AAAGGTGCTTAGAAAAAGTCAATTTGACCTTTTCATAGAAAATATCCAACACAGCTGACATAGCATCTTACGTGTGACGTACAGTTGTTTACCATTAATGTTCATTAGTAAGGGGCCGTTTGGTTGGTTTCCTAAAAAGCAAGAAAAGGAAATCGGTACAAGGAAACCAATAAAATAATATTTTTATCTATTTCTATCCCTAAAACTCACCCACAACATCTAATAAAATAATATTTTTATCATCCAACTCATCTCATTTCATCTTCTTTCTTATCTTTAAAAATAAACCAAACACAAGAAATGTGTCACATCATCCAACTCATCACATCTTATCTTATCTCATTTTTAAAAATCACACACATCATCCAATAATATTGTGACAACTCATCTCATCTCATTAAACATTCCTTTCCATCCATTTCCTCAAAAAAAAACAAGAAATTGATTTCCTTAAGTATGTGTCACATCATCCAATAATATACCTCCAACTCATCTCATCTTATCTATTTTCTTATTTTTAAAAACGAACCAAACACAAACAACCTCAAAACATCATCCAATAATATATCTCCAATTCATTTCCTTATTTTTTTAACCAACCAAACAACCTCAAAACAATTTTTTTAAAAAAATCACTCACATCATCCAATAATAAGGTGACAACTCATCTCATATCATCTTCTATTCTTTAGTTTCCTCTTTTTTAAGCCAACCAAACAACCTCAAAACAATTATTTTAGGAAATAGGTTTCCTATTCTTTGATTTCCCATTCTTTTTTGCGAAACGAACAGCCCCTAAGTGGACCGGCAAAACTGTCCAATTTTTACTTCTCCAGCTCCGAAAGTTAAAACGGATGAAAACAAACATCCAACCCTACCGCCGCCAAAGGTCCTTGAAGTTGATCCCCCAAAATCTCATCTATGAGAGGGGTTTCGGTTTCAAAGCAACCCAAGAAACAACGCTGATCCATCCCTATAGGATGATGACGGGTACTGTTTCTATCGGAACCGTCTGCATGAGATCATACGGGCGGGGTTCTGACGCTCCACGTGCTAAAAATGCAGGCAGTCCACACGGCTAAAAAAAAGTTAGTATTCATAGTATGTATAATAATTATAGATAGTTGATATTGGATCCGAGCCAACACAACATGGTATTGATTAGGATGATGACGGTACTGTTTCTATCGGAACCGTCTGCATGAGATCATACGGTGCGATTTCAGGTAAAAATGCAGGCAGTCCACCCGGCTGCACCCTCCCCAACCTAAAAATGCAGGCAGTTAAAGCACTAAAGAATGCATTTAATTAGTTCGCACCGTAGGAGACAATAAACTCACAAGAGACAAGGCAGTTCAAAGAAAATTAAAAAGAAAAAAGAAAAAAGAGAGGATCGGGCTCTGAAGTCTAACCGCACCGATGTCTGTCGCTTCGCTTCCGCTCATCACTGACCGAGAGTCCATAGTACAGATCTGCAACTGTTGGCAGTAATAACGCATCGACTTTTCCTCAACTGCCAGATCCAACCACACTCAACGCTGCTGCATATATTCGTACCTGAAAATATCGCCCTCCTGTTTTTATTAGCTAGCGGCCTGCAGCCACCGAAGCAGGAGGAAAGTCGCCGAATTTTAGGTTTAGACGCAAACATACCAAAACGGTTGCACATAGAAAGAAGCATCGTCAAGACAATATGTCTATAACCTGTTCTTTTCTTTCACCTAGGAAGTGGTTCTTAAGAGGCCACGAATATGGTAATGGAAGGATGCACATCAATTATTCTAAGCAATAGTTTATGAATGCAAAATGTTACAAGCAATTATCTATATAGTAGTTTGGTGTTATATGAAGATGGATTCATTTAGGGCCTGTTCGTTTGGCATATTTTTTTGGGAAATCAAAGAATAGGAAATCTATTTCCTATAATAATTGTTTTGAGGTTGTTTGGTTGGTTTAAAAGAGAAGGAAATTGTAGAATAGGAGATGAGATGAGATGAGTTGTCACCTTATTATTGGATGATGTGAGTGGTTTTAAAAAAAAGATTGTTTTGAGGTTGTTTGGTTGGTTAAAAAAATAAGGAAATGAATTAGAGGTATATTATTGGATGATGTTTTGAGGTTGTTTGTGTTTGGTTCGTTTTTAAAAATAGGAAAATAGATGAGATGAGATGAGTTGGAGGTATATTATTGGATGATGTGACACGTACTTAAGGAAACCAATTTCTTGTTTTTTTTTTTTAGGAAATGGATGGAAAGGAATGTTTAATGAGATGAGATGAGTTGTCACAGTATTATTGGATGATGTGTGTGATTTTTAAAAATGGGATAAGATGAGTTGTGATGAGTTGGATGATGTGACACATTTCTTGTGTTTGGTTTATTTTTAAATGTAAGAAAGGAGATGAAATGAGATGGGTTAGAAGATAAATATAATATTTTATTAGATGTTGTGGGTGAGTTTTAGGGATGAAAATGGATAAAAATATTATTTTATTAATTTCCTTGTACCAATTTCCTTTTCTTGGTTTTTAGGAAACCAACCAAACGGACCCTTAACACATTTAGAGAAGTAACCTAGGTAAACAATTTGCAATATGTAGAAAACACTCTGAAAGTTTTAAAAATGACAAAAGAACACTCAAAACTCAAAATTTACAACAAAATGCCCTGAGAATTTCAAACCTACAAACAGTATATTGAAAATATAGGAATTACATCCGATCTCTGAAAATTTTAAAATTTGTAGAAAACATCCCAAAAGTTTCAAAAATTACAAAAAACACCAAAAAAAATTTAAACTTTTTTGGGGATTTTTTGCAATACCTTAATTTTTAGTGTAATGTTTGAAAGTTTTAGAAATTGCCAACGAGTATTTGTAATTTTTTAAATTTCTAGGATATTTTCTTTAATTTCAAAACTATTGACGGTTTTTGTATAGTTTTATAAACTTTCAGGGTAGTTTTGGTTTTATGCATAGGTAGATCAAGCAATGATGAAAATATCTAAGAGGATGTGATTTTTAAGATATATTACGCTATGGTTATGAAAGTATGCACATCCATAACCATTTCGAGTTCCTCAAAGATAAATAATCTTGCATTTGAGTTATAAATAAACACATAAATTCAATAGGAAACAATTAAAAATATTTGACCACGTGCAATGCACTTGCATCCCAACTTGTCTAATATAAAGCGAATTACAAAAGAGTAATTAATTCCAATAACCTCTTCTCAATTATAGATGAATCAAAGATTCTCATTTAATTCAAAAAATAAAAAAAAAAAGATCTCATTTAATTCAAAATCACTCAAGGAAAATAAAACGGTGAAATTAAGGGTGAGCAAAACAGTTGGTTCCGTCCGTTTTTGATAAACTCTGATAAAATTGAATCAAAACATCCTACACTCTAAATCGAACCAAAATTTGTTTAGAGTTTAACCCCCCATCTACTTAACAAAATCTGCTGTTGAGAGAAATTAAGGGAATTGACGAAACGACGGCACAAATTTTCTGAAATAACAAACAAAACCTGCGATTATTGAGAGAGAGAGAGAGAGAGATTTTTGAACCAAAACAAACATATTGAAATAAGAGAGCGGCA